AAACCACAGCTTACTTTCCCCCAAAAAATTAAGAATAAGCTCTCTCCTTGTTAGCAAAGGTTTCTACTTCCTATGGAAAAAACATTTGCTAAACTTTCAGGAAAACAGATTCACATGTCTCTCTCTGAACTAGCACTATTAAAAAAGAGGGAGATAAGTCAGAGGCACAGGGAAAAAAAAGACTAAGGCTATTATTCATTTATAAGGATAATTCAGGGATGTGCATATATATATACACACACTCTGATGCAGCATAAGTTAAGAGAAAACATTGCTGACCTCTAAGTCAATAATAACAAAGTATTTATATAAGCAATCAATATTTGTCTCTGGGGACCAAACTTATTTGTCATATGCTCTATTTTTGTGCATTCTTAGGGCCAAAATGTTAAGTCTTTGTAATAGGCTTAAAAAAATACATACTATATCGCTCTTACCTTGCGCTGGTTGTGCAAGATAATTAAGCCTTTAAATTTTTCAATTACAAAGATAAACAACCTGTAAAGTTTAGGGAGGGGAGGAGAAAAAGAAAAAGGCTACATATGACATTCCATGATAAACCCTAAAAGTGTTGCTAACCAAAGATATCCAGAAGGAGAGGAAGCCTTTCCAATTCAAAGGTCACACTATCACTAGTTGCATTGCTTTTGAATTTAAGAATTAAATTAAAGCTGCATCACAGTTACATCAGGCAGCCCTAGACTTCTCAGCGAAACACAAGTAGCCAAATATGCAATGCCCACCCTACATTCTTTTAGCATCCGGAACAAAATTGCTTTCACTTTGCTGTTTTGCTTTGAGGCTGTTAACCTACAGCAAAAGCTACAAAAACGTGAAAGGAAGCAGCCCTCTTTCAGCTGCTGAGATCCATTTAATTCTGTACAGCAACTGTAGGGAGTACTTCTGTCAGCTCTAAGACTGCTAAAGTCGAGCCTGCCAGAGTCTTGTGTCACATAGTTAATAACAAGCTCTTACTGAAGCTTTCTTGAGCTGGGGTATTTGTAACAACAGGCTCCCACCTAATTCTCCGATGTCTGACCATACGTGTCTTTCTATTAGTACAGTTTTTCACCGCAGTGTGAGCAGCAGTAAGCTTTCCCAGGATTCCTGGTTACCAATTTTCATGAAACCTGGTGAAAACTCTGGTCTTTGGGACCTCCACCTGTCTGTCATCCTTGACTGAGAACCACCAAGAGATCAATATTAGGGAGAGACACAGGAAAAGGTAAACAAGGGCACACACAGAGCACACAGTTGTGCCCTTAGAAGACAAGGCTAAAGGTGCAGAGGTGTATCTCCCCTGCTGAGCTGGCCATGGAAAGAGGTCACTGCTGACAGACAGTCTGCTGGCCCTGGTCAGATTTTAACTATCTCAGCAGCAGTCAATAGCTCTTGGAGTTTTTCAAAATCCCAGACTAGAAAGATTAGCATGCATCTCTTCTTCCTGTGAGACTGATTCTCAAGTAAAATGTCAAGTTAAGCTGTTAATTATATTTACTGCCATTATAAGGAGATGAAAAGATTGAGAGATCATTTAGCTTGATTTTGTCAATAAACAAGGTAAATATAATCTTGCTGCACATATCTCTGTTGATGAGTCCCTCACCAACTACTAAATTTGCCAGTCATTTTCAGGCAAGTTTGACAGAGTGTGCAGTCCCCAAAGTGATTAAGTTCCCATGTTTCATGGAAATGAACAGAGAAAAGACTCCTTGTTAGTGTCCTCACTGAGAAACACACCAGTGTAGGCTTACCTGCACTGTCAGGCACCAGAGAAACACCACTGGGGACTGCTAGAATAAGTGAGTTCCACAGAAGGCTGGGCTTTGGATCTTCTGCTACCCATGCTGCTACTTACTTTTTTCTTTTTTTTTTTTTAATAAAAAAATCGATGAATGGAACTAAATAGGCCAGGCAGAAGTTATTAAGAATATTCTCAACTAATCCACTTTATAAAATGAAATTAAAAAGAAACAGTACACCCTCTCCTCCCCCCCCCAAAAAAAAACTCCCCACACATTCCAGGTTGTTATCTCTGCCTATTGTTGTGACTTTGCAACCGTATTCCTGCTTTAATAGCCTTTCTCTTTCTTCTGTGCTGCTTTGTGAAAGATCCAAACAAACAGGGAGGAAGGAATTAACTGAATATAAAGAAAGTTTGTATTCACAGAATGCTGACACATGCAGAAAAAGAACAAACCAAAGAGCAAAAGCAGCCATTTCCCCCTCTCTAATCTTCTTCACTCAATTTGCTATAGCTCATCTGTATTACCGGTTTCTCTGCAAGCAGAGCTACATGACCCCCTTGCAGTACTTACTTCATACCAGAGCTAAAAATCACCAAGATGTGCTCCCCTGGTTTCTGCAGGAGCACAGTACTCCTTGAGACAGACAAGCCTTTAGACAAGCTTTTAAACAAGCTTTACAGAGTCAAAGAGGAAAACCTCTGTAGGCAGACTTTTTTACTTTTTTTTTTTTTTAAACATCAGCAGCATTCCCTTCAAGAAATGGGACAGCAGGGTCCTTCTGAGTTGCAAAGTGGCAGTAGTAATAATACTAGTGGGATAATGGTGCTCTAAACACTATTAATGATACAGCACTTGCACACTTCTAGACAAATCTGGGAACAGCCAAAACATCAGAAGCAAAGACACAAAAGGAATACAGCAAATCTCTTTTTTTTT